GTCTATATCATCAAAGTTACTTGGTCCAGTGGTTCCACTGAAGCCATTTATCGACGGTACAGCAAATTCTTTGACCTACAGGTAAAGATCCTGCACCTCAGCAGCTGGCATCTATCCAGCACTAATTCCAGAGGAGGGTTTGCTGGGAGGGAACCTAAGTGGGTTTCTTTTCCACATGCTACATGTCGTTCTCTCCTTTGAAATCTGGGCGCTCTACCCGAAGGATCAGAGGGGTTTCATTTTTCCTGGGCTTTTTACAATGGCACCCTTCTTTCTAAAGCTTCTTTGATAGAAGAGAACATTAAAATGATGCTTTTGCAACATTAAACATTTTAATTATCAAAATACAAAACACACAGGCCAACTAGTTGCCTGTGCCAATGTGAAGATACAAAATTGTGGATCATTCATAAAGCATCAGTATGGCTTGCAGATCATTAGAGCGTCGTATATTTAGATCTGAAAAGGGTTCCCACAGGTCATCCAGCCTAACACTTCATTTTACAGATGAGCAATCTAAGGCCCAGAAAGGTTAGAAGACTTCCCAAAGACCACACCAGTAGTAAGCAGCAGAGACAGTATTACAGCCCAGGTCATCTGATCCCAATCCTGTATAAGTCTTTGAATTTCTATTTGAATATGGATCATTGTGGCTTGTTAGCTCAGGTGGTTTTATAATTCATTAGCCAGTATTAACTAAGCACCAATTATATGCCAGCCAAATACAAAGAATGCCTTCAAGATGCTAACATTCTGTACATACATGAGTATGTGGAAAATAATTTGGAAATGGGGAGCCACTAGCAATTGGTGGGGATCAGAAAGGGCCTGATGTGGGAGCAGAGTGTGAAGGATACTAAGAATTCTAAGAGGTAAAGTTAAGGAGGGACTGTGTTCTAGGCATGGGTGACAACCTATACAAAAGCATCAGAGGAGGATTGTGGAGTATCATGGATGAGGAAAAACAAGATGTCCAATTGGTCTGTACCAAGAATGAGTGAAGAATACCAGTGAAACCAGGGTCACTGGTTTAATTCCCCATAGAAGCCATTTAGCTCTGAAGAGAAATAAACTCCATGCTCCGTGGTCACAGATTGAATCCCTGAAACCAGAGAGCTGTTTTGCAATGCACACCCTCTGACACAAGACAAGGAGAGAGAATGTGTCTGAAGTCAGTGTAAACCCAACCCTGAGTACTAGGAAAAAACAACTTGAGGCACGTGTCTTTCTGAGGGTGGATCGTTAGCATCATTTACCTATAATGAAAACACAACATAAGTGAAAATGGGTGTGACTGACATTCTGGGAATTCATAATGCTTTTTAAAACAAAATAATGAAGTCATTTGCTGACTCAGGGCAAGTTGAAGAGCTGTTTAGAGTTCTTCTGTGTTCGGTAAACACAGTTCGGGGTGAAGACGAACAGCATCAGCTTTCTTTTCCTCTAATCTTACTGGTTTTCTGGCACACACTTTTCCATGTTGAGGAATGTAACTGAGTACTCTGGTTTTAAAAGGCCTACTTTTTGCTAGACCAGCATTTTCCTGAGGAAGGAGAAAAAAAGAGCACTTTTAACTCAAAGTTCTATCACCTACTTACTTAATTCTATCAATTAGGAGATAGAAGCCAGATTTCCTCCAAATACAATCCACAGTTATAAGGAGTTTACTCTACCATAAATAGCCTCAGACTTCCCTATCTTAAAAAACTTTTAAAAAGGTATGGCTTGCAACATGTTCTAAAGATTAACAGATGGGCTGTTGGACCTAAGAAGGCATGGAATTCCAAAGGCGTCGACTCATCATGGAAAATGCGTTTGCCTCCAGCTCCCCAAAGTGTAAATCTGGAAATGGTTAGTGGAAATGCACCAGCTGATCTCAGCTGCTGCAAAGGAGCAGATAGAGAGAGTTGATCCCTAAGGTAATGATTCCCAACCCATTTGTAGGTGTGATATACAAATGTTACTGGATTTCATGAGATTCCCTCCCTTCCTACTCTCTCTTCTTAAGAGAGATGTTTAACATATATATATTTTAAATTAAATTAGAATGAGTTTAGTTTGAAGAATTTGGTGATTTTCTAGGAACAGTTCATGGAGGGCGTATGATTTTCTTTAGTCTTTTTCCCTTGCTAGAATGCTGTCTCCATTGCCCACAGCCCCTGTGTAAGCTTTCTCTCTTCTGAACTCTGGTAGTATTATAATCTATACCACACAGTTTGATAATATCCCTTGTTAGGATATTCTCTATATCACATGTTATTCTTTTCTGTATTATGCTGTATTATAAGTATAGTAAATGTATGCAGGCTGCATATTTTCTGTACCATGCTATATTATAATCCTCGCTACAGTCCTTCTCTTGCGTCTTAGAATGCGTAGCTTCAAGCAAAACTTAGCTCTGATGCCATTCCCTCTTTGAAGCCTTTCCCAGTTGCCTCTCACTTTTATGCTCCTTCCCCCCTCAAATTATCCTGTACGGGGCATTCCACAAGCCTTGGTGCAGTTCTAAGCTTTTATAGGGTGTTCCAAAAGCCAAAGACTTTTGGAACACCTTGTGTGGTTTTTTTTTTTTTTTTGACCGCATATTATGGCACCCAATAGAATATAAATTCTTTGAGGGGGAGACTACTGTTCTTTTTTTTTTTTTTTTGGCTTCATATCTCCAGGGCTATACCTGTAGTAGATGCTTAATAAATGTTTGTTGAACTGAATTGAATAATTATGTTGCCTTCTGTGAGCTCATCATAGGTATTTAGTAAATATGTGTAAGGTTGGTTTGAAGTTCTATGAGCTCATCATAGGTATTTAGTAAAGGTTTAGTAAGGTTGGTTTGAAGTCATTTCTTCACCTTTGCTTTAAAATTCCCCTCCTCAGTAAATCTTGCCCAGATAAACTTCCCTTCCCTTTGCATGGTTGAGGGGTCCTAGTTCTGACACTAACTCATTGTATGACCCTCAGCAAGTCACTTCACCCCTAGACCTCAGTTCTCACCTCTCTAAAATGAGAAGGTTGGACAAGATGACCTCTAAGGTCAGCAGCCATCTTTGACATCCTCCGAGTTCTCTGAAGAATCACTCCCGTCATTCTATGATCTACACTGCCTTTTTGTATGTAATGATACAAACCATGACCACTTGTCACAACCATGTTGATTGGCCAGTGCGTAGGTGACTTACACTTCAGTGAGTCTGTAGTATCACTGATGTGACATCACGTTCAGTGAGGCAGATTGTAACCCAACCTGCCTGCCCAACCCCTGTGCTTCTTGTCCCTATCACCCTATAAGTTTACCATGAGGGGATGAGGAGGGGTCATCTAATGTACTAGGGCCTTTCTCTCATTTTCTTCTGATGTTATGAGGATACTAGTGATGTGCATGGGCTGTCCACTGCTTATACTTGGTTCCCACCT